GAACAAGGCACGATATCTTCGATTGATCTTTGACCTTCTAGAGTCAAGCGTCTCGACGGTGATATATGAAGCCGCTCACGCCTTGACCACCCTCACAAACAATCCTGTAGCAGTCAAGGCAGCCGCAGGAAAGTTCTCGGAGCTCGCCATTAAAGAGCCGGACAATAATGTCAAGCTTATTGTTCTAGAGAGGGTGGACCAGCTGAGGCAGAAGAACGAAGGTGTCCTAGATGACCTAACAATGGAAGTACTCCGTGTTCTCTCTAGTCCCGATCTAGATGTAAGGAAGAAGGCGCTTAAGATTGCGCTTGAGATGGTCACGAGTAGGAATGTTGAAGAAGTCGTGCTCCTGCTCAAGAAAGAGCTTATGAAGACGGTCGACGAGCAATACGAGAAGAATACTGAATATCGTTCGCTCCTTATCTCCGCCATTCATCAGTCCGCCATTAAGTTCCCAGAGGTTGCGGCGAGTGTAGTAGGCTCGTTGATGGACTTCATTTCAGATGTCAGCAGCAACGCTTCTGCTGTAGATGTTATATCCTTTGTTAAAGAAGTTGTCGAGCGTTTTCCGGATCTACGACCTTCAATTGTCGAACGCCTCGTCACCACTCTGGGGGAGGTTCGCGCTGGCAAGGTTTATCGTGGTGTTCTCTGGATCATTGGAGAGTTCTCATTAGAGGCGAAGGATATTAGAGACGCATGGAAAGGCATCCGCTCGTCTCTTGGCGAAATTCCAATCCTTGCTTCTGAACAACGACTATTAGAAGAGTCTCCTGAAGGCAAGGAGCCCGCCGATGGGGTTAACGGACACGCCAAACCTACGGCTCCCTCAGGTTCTCGTAAAGTGCTCGCGGATGGTACCTATGCTACAGAGAGTGCGCTCACGTCTTCGGCGGCGGCCAAGGCGAAGCTAGAAGCCGTCAAAAACTCCCAGAAACCTCCTCTTCGTCAGCTAATCCTCGATGGGGACTACTACCTGGCCTCCGTTCTCTCAAGCACCCTCACTAAGCTTGTTATGCGACATTCAGAGATTTCAAAGGATAAGGCTCGCACGAACGCTCTGAAGGCCGAGGCTATGCTTATTATGATTTCCATCATCCGAGTTGGTCAGTCACACTTTGTCAAGACGCTCATAGATGAAGATTCCATTGACCGGGTCATGTCATGTGTCCGGTCACTCTCGGAGTTCTCGCAAAGGAAGGAACTCGAGACTGTCTTCCTGGAAGACACCCGAAAGTCGTTCAGAGCCATGGTACAAACAGAGGAGAAGAAGCGTGCAGCTAAGGAAGCATCCGAAAGGGCCAAGTCTGCTATTAATGTTGACGATGCCTTCTCCATCCGGCAATTGAAAAAAAAGGATGTGGAGGGCAATGACGAGATTGAGCAAGATCTGGAAAGGGCAACGGGAGGCGACACAACAACTGAAGACCTCACTTCGAAGCTTAGCCGCGTCGTCCAGCTTACTGGATTTTCAGATCCAGTCTATGCAGAGGCCTATGTGAAAGTGCATCAATTTGACATTGTCCTGGATGTCCTTCTCGTCAACCAAACGACCGAAACACTACAGAATCTTACTGTCGAGTTCGCTACACTTGGCGATCTGAAGGTTGTGGAACGGCCTCCAACACAAAACGTTGGACCGCATGACTTTATCAATCTGCAAGCGACTGTTAAAGGTATACATCTAATTGTTGATCAACTTCTTCACTTAAACTAATATGTCGTAGTCTCTTCGACCGACACTGGCGTTATTTTCGGTAACATTATCTATGAAGGGTATGATAGACACTAAGGTTTCAACGGCACCTACTAACAAGCATACAGCGAGAAAGGTGTCGACTCCAATGTCGTCATTCTTAACGATGTTCATGTCGATATCATGGACTATATCAAGCCGGCATACTGCACAGAGACACAATTCCGAACAATGTGGACCGAATTCGAGTGGGAAAACAAGGTCAACATCAACTCCAAGGCAAAGTCTCTACGGGAGTTCCTGAAGCAGTTGATGGCTTCCACCAACATGAGCTGCCTTACCCCAGAGGCTTCGATGAAGGGTGACTGCCAGTTCTTGTCGGCTAATCTTTATGCAAGGAGTGTGTTTGGTAAGCGATCATGCCCGTATTCACACGTAAGCAGTGCTGACTGGCCTCAGGCGAGGACGCTCTTGCCAATTTGAGCATTGAGAAGGAGGGTGAGAATGGTCCTATAACAGGCTTTGTGCGTATTCGAAGTCGATCGCAAGGTTTAGCTTTGAGTTTGGGGTCATTGAAGGGTCTTAACAAGGTTGGCTCGTCATAAGGAAGGCATGTTGAAGGGTTATGTGCCATTAGCAAAGATTCAGGGCTGAAGGGCACAGTTGCTTATAGACTTGGAGGGGTGGTGTGAAGGATGATCGGTATAGTTATGTGCCCACGTTTCGAGGATCCGGTGATACCTGGGCATGAAAATTCAGGACAGGGTACAAGGTTGTCAGCGTAGCTAGCATTGGAGGCTTCTGAAAATGCGAAATTTCAGTCAATCACCATGGTGACTAGGGCATACCTCGTCAATATGCTACCTAGTTTGCTATGTGAGCCATCAAAAGCGACAAACCCACCCCGGTCACGCTGCACCGTACCAACGCAACACAGCGGGCGTTGATACCGCATTGGTGTACCCCTAGCAGGCGGGACGATGCCAATCTCGAAACGTGCACAAGCGCGACATGCTACTTGCCTCTTCGGACAAAGCCTCGGCTTAGCTTACCCTCCCTCCTACAGAGCGTTGTTTCTTACATGTTCTTTGTAACGACCATGGCTCCGAACCATCCGTCCCTGAGCTTACTATCCTGCTCGCCTTGACTTCACCCTGCGGTTCGCGCTATGCAGACAGGTTTGTCCTTCATTTCATGACCATGGCTCTTGTTGCGGCGGACGATCCTTTCAAAGACCCTTCGCTTGACACCTCGCCCGCCGCGACCCCCCAACCGCCAGATGATGTCCCCATTACGCTCGCTGTTGGCAGAAATGCCTCATTAACTCTGGGGACCGACTCTCTGGTCGTTCTAGGTACCACAATCTGCAGGATATTTCGGGAAACCTCTGCTAATGAGTGCAGACGAGGCGCTGCTGGACAGTAGGGGCGGTCTCTGTTGCGGCGTCAGTCTTATCCCCGGCAGTATGTGTTCTACCCTCTAGGTATCGTGCGCACCACTGATTGCGAGCAGACGAAAAGACCACTCGTTCAATACCCTTCTTTAATGTCCTCTGGGCCGAGCATTCCGACGATGACGACGTTACAATCCAGTATGCGCATACAGTATCTAAACAGGTCGTTCGCCCTGCAATAATCAGCTATAAGATAGAGAAAACCCAATCACTGCACGCAGATGCATGGATTGAGAAGCTCCTCGCACGCGCCTATGGAGCGTCACAACGTCAGAAGAGGATCAAGGTCCTTATCAATCCTTTCGGGGGGAAGGGCAAGGCTATGAGGATATACCATAAGAACATTGCGCCCATTCTTGCAGCCGCGCGATGCGAGTTGGATGTAGAGCCTACACGACACAACGGCCATGCGGTTGAAATTGGGCGAGAGCTGGACGTAGACGCTTACGATGTCATTGCATGCTGCTCCGGGGACGGTGTTCCGCACGAAGTCTGGAATGGCTTGGGCAAGAAACCGGACGCCGCCCGGGCGCTGGCGAAAGTAGCTGTTGCGCAATTGCCATGCGGTTCTGGAAATGCGCATAGTTTGAACTTTAATGGCACAGATAGCCCAAGTCTCGCGGCTGTTGCGCTCGTGAAGGGCCTTCGGACGCCGCTGGATCTCACTTCCGTAACCCAAGGGGATCAGCGAACACTCTCCTTTCTCTCACAATCAGTCGGTGTTGTTGCTGAGACAGATCTAGCGACTGAGCATTTGCGATGGATGGGCAGTACACGCTTCACGTGGGGTTTCCTTGTCCGCTTGATCGGGAAGACGATATATCCGGCAGACATCGCCGTCAAAGTCGAAATGGATAGCAAACAAGCAATCCGCGAAGCGTACCGCACAGAAGCAGCAAAACCACCACCAACCCACGACTCTCGCCCAGTTCCGGCGACGGGTACCGGGCTTCCTGAACTCAGATACGGTACTATCAACGACCCACTGCCCTCAGGCTGGGAACTCATCCCCCATGACACACTTGGAAACTTCTACGCTGGGAACATGGCCTACATGTCACCCGACGCAAACTTCTTCCCTGCCTCCCTCCCTAGCGACGGGTGTCTCGATCTCATCCGCATTAGTGGCGACATCAAGCGGTATACTGCCATCTCTACTTTACTCGCTATTGAGAACCATACGTTTTTCGACTTGCCGCATGTCGACTATAAAAAGATTAGTGGGTATAGGATTATCCCGAAAAATCAAAAGGATGGATATATTAGCATTGATGGAGAGAGAGTTCCATTTGAACCGTTTCAGGTCGAGGTGCATAGAGGTTTAGGCACTGTTTTGAGTAAGACCGGGCACTTGTATGAGGCTAGAGGCATATGAACATGGAGTCTTTTATCGTTAATCTAACTCAGGCTCTTTGTTTGTGCTTTGGATTTTTTGGACGCAGCGTTTCGTTCGGGTTTTGGAGTCCGGATGGGCACGCCGGAATTGGCCGGACAATGGATTCGCAGTTTTTCCGACATCCCCTTTTGTAGACCAGCTATCCGGAAAAGGCTTAGTATCCTAAGTAATTCTTTGTTTGACAATTGTGGCAATTCAAGATGCCTTGCGCGTCTGATTCATCTTGTGAGATGGCTGGGTTGTATGTAGTACTATTGTTTGATGTATGAAATTTTTTCTTCCAATCATAGGACACTGCCCCCCCCCCCCTTGACTCATTGCCACCGATCCCCACACTTCCTACTACGGTGATCCTAGACAAAGAAAAATCTCTCGTTTAGGCCCTTGTTACTGTTTATTCTGATTTGTGGTCATAAGATAAATATTTTGTTAAATTGGCTATTAAACAAGCCAAAGCTAAGTGGCGCAGCGGAAGCGCGCCGGGCTCATAACCCGGAGGACCTCTGAGTGAGTGGCTTCAGTGGAACTGATTGTTGTATGTGAGATTTATTGATAACTTTCAGTCGAAACGGAGCTTAGCTAAGTTGTTCGATTCGCCCTTGGGTGAATTCTTTTTTTTTTTTTCTTCTTTCGGTGGGTTTTGTGTGGGGCGCTGGAGGGTTCCGCCTCTATTCGATCCCTTCAGGACCATGCCTAAGGCACGCCCCTTCTCGCTTCTACACTAATCTCTGCAAACATCTCTGAAGCGGGGATATGCAACTCTATCTAATTGCTCTTGGGTGACGGTGGGTTGGCGAATGCGTCAATGGAGTTGGAAGATAGAGGATAGGTGGTTGGCTTGCTTTTGGTTTTTGCGATAGGGAAGGTGGATAGTTATATTGGTTAGAATAGAGAGTCTCAACTTCATGTATAAAGGCAGAGGGTGGGATGAGCCCGCGAAGGTAGATGGGGGTCTTTTATATCCGTTCATATCGAGTTTAAGGCACTATTTCGATGTTCGGGACTACTCCCATCAGTCCTAGTACTTTTTCTTCATAGAGATCTAGAATATTGTCCCATGGCATCTTTATTCCTGGGCCCAAAACAGCGGCTAGAGTCTACGCCTTTTGCATATAGTTCATTCCTTAGGCTAGAGCAGGGAGTTGACTTCACTAGCTGTTTCCATCGAGCTTCGACTTTGATTGTACCTTCAGATTTGACTGCAAATATAATGTGCGGCTTGCGTGTCGCAAGAATTTGAAATTAGCCTCGAGTTGTATGTGGACGATAGCCTTATCTTTTTCCTTACTTGATCAAGCATCTACATTTTAATACGATGTCTCTACCACATCGATATCACAAATGCTCTGAAAATTGCCATGGAGTGTTTACTACAAATTCTCTAGAAATATCGTCGATGAGGATTTATAGCAGTTATGTCTAGGTCCCAAGGCCAAATACTATTATCTGGTCTAGCTTCGAAATACTCCAAAAACACAATCAAACTCTAGACAATCTTACTATAGTAAGAGCATAATAATATAACAAGACTGCTGTTTAGTACGGATAATAACATGCATTCGGCGAAAGCTCACCTATTTTTTTTAAGCACTATCAGATTGTACCTTGATGGTAACCTCACGGCGTTAAGCAATTGCCGATACCTTATTATCTTTCTTTCTCTCTTGGCCCTCCCTTGTACCAGCTTAAGATTTAGCCAAATTTCTTCTCGTTCTGAATAATTAAAATTGAGAATTAATTCTTATGATAACAAAATGCTGACTTTACGTCATAAAGTCGGCAAAAAGCCATAAGGAACGACTTGTAAAATAGGTAAGGGGCATGCTAGATCTAGAAACTCCTCGAAAAGACCTAACTTAAGCGATTTCGATACGCTACAATCACGCGCTATTCAACTCAACTTCTTGGTTTACCTGTCTAATTTACCAACCTCTACAATACCCTCGCAGTCATCTAAGGGCGAGACAATGATGATAATACTAGATTTATATTCGGTGAGCTCCTATTCCAGGGCTGCTTTCAAAACGCTCTCCTAGACCTAGATTCCCTCACAATTAACCCGTCACCATAGATACTAGTAGATCGCCCCTCTAAACCTCGACCTGGCTTGCAAAAGTAAACCGCAGATATCAAACCCAGGAAACTTTCCCTTCCCTTCCCTTCAACTTGCTCGAATGAGGCTAATTCGAGGAGGCCAACGCCTGCAAAACATCCCATATTGCACGTCTTACCATAGCGACCTAGTCTACGGGTATGATATGAAGCTTCCATCATACCGGTCCGGCATCTCGCCAACTTCTCTCTTGAAAAAAAGAAAACCTCCCAAAAAAAACACCGGACCACTGCATCTGCTCACCCATGGCGGGACCCTGATCTAGCGATCTGTAGATTCCTGCCGCCTGACACACTTGTAGAGCACCCTCTCTCTCTAGCTAATTCAGCCAGTACCGTGTCAGTATCATTAAGATGCAATAGTAGTTGATTTTTTTGTTGTCGTTTTCGGGTTCAAAAGAATTAGTCACAGCACTAGGCGCACCATAAGTTGGCCACACAACGCATTGCTAATCCGCCAGATAGCTGCTTTAGTTAGCCGTCAATAAATTGATTGAGCATGCCCGATACGGGGGTCTCGTGGTCCTCAGATGCTCGTTTTGGAAAAAAAAAAAAAAAAAAAAACCACTTATCTCTAGCAGCGGGCTGTGCTGGTGCGAATGTGAAGTTCTTCATTCTTTACACCAAATGTCTTCTCGGAACGAATCGATGACACTATCCACTATGGAAGAAGTTCTGTATTAAGATGCGCGAAATAGTCGCTATTCATGAGAAGAGATACCAGTAATAGTCGGGGAAGGGTATGTATAGATGGACCACGAGAGGATAGCGAGGAGTTACCTAGCAGGTAGAATAACCCGCCTTCAACACGCATATTAGATCTAGGAAAGTTACTGAAGTCGGTAAAATAGTACTCAGGCTAGCATATCTACCCACATAAAAGCGGACAGTAGACCTGGAATAGTACCTGGAGCTAGCACGTTATTAGGTATATGTATTGATTAAAAACTGGCAGCAGGTGCCGAAGCAGACATAGTCATCCATCACAAGTTCAACCAACGATCTAATAATGGAAGATAAGGCAGACCAACGAAGCAGTCCAAAAATCTTGATATTCAATACGGATCCAAATATCTAGCAACGCGCCTATCCAAAAGTGGTATCGCAAACGGAAGCCAACTAGTCCGAAAACAAATGGTCCGATGGTATAACAAGAAGATAACAATTACCGCCGATTTTGGGGGCCCGAACCTAAAAGGTATTATGCGAAAATATCGAAGAGGCCGTGTAAGTATAGGGTACGGCGCTTGGTTGTTCCTTATGCCAAATGCTCCAGTGGAAACTGAGACCAAAATTATGAACACGCGCCTCGTAAACGCCAATATGTTACAATGGACTAGAAGAGCCAATGCTCTAAGTCCGAGGTGGTAATATGTAAGGAGTATGTTCAGGTGGTTATGGAGAAGGTAGGTACGTGGGAATAGATAAATGCGTATGGGAATCGATGCTTAAGCTAGTAAATTTTGTAGAGTAAATGTTGGAGGGGTTAGGAATAGGGTGGCCTATGTTGATAGTCGGTTGTTGTTCGACGGCGCTGTAGATACGGACGGAGACTGGGTCGAAGGGAGGAGGACAAGTTGGGCTTCGTAGTCGGGAATTGTCCATTGCACCTCCATTTGGCGTGTGTCTCTACGTCCCTTTTCTGGGAGTCACCTTTGCCTCGAATATATGCTTTCTTGTGTAGGTGAGGACCGTGGAGGCGATCGCCTGAGGGTTGGAGATTTTCGCACAGCAGTCGAAGCAAGAGTGGCCGCTGGGCTTGGAGCGATGGGCGTTGAGTTTCCAACAATAGGAGATTTGCCCTTGTTCGACCCTCCACTTCCGGGTTGTTGGATGGTCCGGACCGTCGAAGGGGTTGCAGGAGAGCGACCACCAACACCTTGCGGAGCCCTCGGTGTCGTGCTTACACTACTCTCAACGCTGATGTGTCTCGCACGCGGTGTCGTATCCTGGCTTCCCCCACCGAAGCGCGCTTCTATTCGCGGCGTGTTCTCCTGGCTCCCTGTCGCTAAATGTTGCATTTCGACTCGCGGTGTCGCCTCGTGGCTTGCTGCACTATCCCTTCTCGGACTGGGTTTTGTTGTTGAGTTCGATCGACTTCTAATGCCACCGCGGACTTGACTTTGAGCAGGAGTGTCCGGAATTGGAGGGCCTTCAGCAGCTCTTCGGCCCGGCTGCGGGCTTTGCTGAGCAGGAACAGGCGCTGGGGCAACAAGGGCACCATTTCCCTGTTGGTCGTTACCTCCGCCACCAGCTTGAACGCCCCCGGGACCAACAGGTGCTGGACTTCCCATTCCACCAACGCGAGGAGTCCCTTCCCAGCTTTTTCGCTTCATCATCCGGCCCAAGATGCCAACAAGTTCTGCAGCGTCCTCAAACTCATGATCATCCATGGGATCCTGCGCGCGATACACGTCTTTGATCGCGCGCCGAGCTAGGCGTCGGGAGCTCTCATGGTCATGCATGACATCCCAGAGAAATGCGCTGTGCTCAAGAGCGATGGAAAGGCGCAGCGGGTGCGAGCCAGGAAGATATTCTGTGGCGTACGTAGTGGCCGTGGTAAAGTATCCGCCAGCGAGGGGAACGAAATTTAAGGGGGGAAGTATGAATGACGATGGTTGGGGAATGGGTATCGGGTTCAGTCCTGGCGGCGCATGGGGAGGCCCCGGCGATGGCGTGCCCACTGGACCTCCTGCTGCATATGGATTTGTGAGGAAGGAGGTCTCGGAGGTGATCGAGTCAATCGGTTCGCGAAGCATTGGTTGCTTTCCAGCACGTTTCGATGAAGGGGAAAATCCAGATGCGGAATCGTTCTTTCGCGCCTGCCCGTTGCCTTGTCGCGGAGAGAGCGGTAAAGGGGGGCCCATTGCTCGAGGCTCAGCCGGTGGCATATTGGTTGCCGTGACAGGGGGTTGGTTGTGGAATAGACAAAAGATGTGATAGAAGCTCGCTCGTAGCTTGACGCTGAGAACCCTGCATTCTGGCCCGTGTTGATTGTCTTGGGCATATGGCAGCACATAGAGCTCCAGAATGGAAAGACCCTCGCGAGCCAACCATAGGATATGCTGATATGCTGCCAGGGATGGAGTATCCCGCGATGTGTCGAGCTTGCGCAGTTTCCTTGCCCGAATCAGTCTCCTTGCTAGCAGAACAGAGAGGCCGAGAATCTGGTAGAGCGAGTTGGATAGCAGTGGGTTGCTATCTTCAGTCTGTTTGGCTATTCGACCGAGGAATTTCTGGTCGAAGTCCAAAGAGGCCATTTTCTAGTGCTCTTTAGACATTCGTTAGCGTTGCGATTTTGTAGAAAGGGGCGGTTGAATGACGGAGACGGTGCGAGGCATGAGGGAAGAGAATGCGACTGATAATGGTGGACAAATTCGGGACTGCCAAACGAATGAAAACGAATGGCTT